GGTTTATCTTGATGCTCTTAAAGGCCCTACTTTCCAAGGAGATATCGTAGTTGGCCATGAAGGATTTCTTATTGGTTCGGAGGGTTGTTATGACGTTTTGGAAGGAAAACTAACCCGTTATGGTGTTACGGCGGGTTATACTCATCCTGAATATAACGTTGCCCTTCGCGTAACTAATTCATTGTCTGCTTATACTCTTTTATATTATCATCGTGTGAGCTCTGAAATTGAAGCCGGTGCTAAGGCTCATTGGGATAGCCAAACGAATAATCCTTCAGTTAATTTGGAGTTTGGTGCCAAATATTTCTTGGATCGTGATGCTTTTATCAAAGTATTATTTCTTCTAATTTTTTTTTTTTTTTTTTTTTTTTTTTTTTTTCTTTGACTGTCTTTCTCTCAAAAATAGAAATAGAGTATTTTGGAATTGGGAATGCATTAATCTAGATCAAAATTTTTTTATATTTCATACCCATACTTTCATTTCTTCTCGAATTCCTATATTTCCTATATTATTCATAATAATCACTCTCCCGGTGAGCACTAAACCTTTTTCTTATAACAATACATACCATTTTTCCTTATCATCCAAATTTTTCTTCATACTCCTCATATTAAAGTCAAAGGTTTAACCTGTTCACAAAACTCCAATTAATTCAAAACTCATTAAAACTTTCATTTCACCATGAAATCACTCATTTCATCCATCCGAACCATTCGAACTCAAATTTCCATCAACCACCATATAGTCGACATATCAACTTCTGCAAGCACTTCTTGTTTGGTTGAATTAGGACCTTGGGAAAGGACTCTAATTCATTCTCTTATCGCTCTAAGTCTTGCTTTAGTTGTTTATGCCGCTTGGGATCCACGAGTCGAAGGAGATTTACTGGCCGTAAAATTAATCGAACATAATTATAATCCTGTACATTATTAATTATTTATAAAAGTTCTTCTTAATTCTCTAATCTTTTTTCTATATTCATTAGATAAATAGAGTTTTTTTATTTAAATATTTCCATCCGGAGGATTTATATAAAAGGCGGTTAAAAAGCATTCTTTGTATTTAATTTAATTCTTAGATAAAATACCTCACATATATAATAGAATTTTTAATTTATTTTAATTTATCATTAATTACTTGACGTAATAATCTCTTAATAATACATTTTATTCCTCTTCATCATTACACCATTTGTTTAACCTACCTTTTTTTTCTCTTCGTATGGTTGTACACATCTCCTTCTTCCCTTGTTCCCTTGTAAATATCCATTTTCTCCACTAACGAAAATCCCAGCGATTTTCTTTATTATCTTCTCTTCCCTTCCTATAGAGTTTTTATGGTTTTGATTTACGGTTATAGTTTTTTTTTTTTGAAAAAAATACTACATGTACTCAAACTCCCTTTCCTTCATTGAATAAAAAAGTATGGCGTATGTAATATGAAAATTTATTGATTTTTAAAAAAAATTTGTCCTTTTTTTTTCGTTCTTTTTAAAATGTGAAATGGGGTTTGAATATTTAGTTATATTTTGAAATGTTCAAAAATACCAACGAAAATTTTAAGGTTAAAAAAGTCTCAGTATGGCACATATAGTTTAATGATTTTAATACTAAATATGGTAACCATTATACAGTTTATTAAAAAAAAAACACGCTAAAAGCTTAAATTAAGCTTTAGATAAGGTTAGTATCATTGCTATAAATCCCATATAAACGATATAATTTATAATCAATGCTCCTGAATATCAATTTGAAAGACTAAATTACATGACTAATATCACACACCTTAAATGTCGGAGATAAAGATATTCTTCGTTCTAATTAGTCATTTTTTTTTAAAAAAAAAGCAAAGATAAATATCATTCTTTGTTAAAATTTACGTCATCCGCCATTCATTTACCATTTTACCTAATTCGAAAATCTGACGGGATAGAAAGTAAGACTGAGTTGCCAAAAACATCGATGACCCAGATGAAAGTACATGCATTATACACCTGCTATAAGTAAAGTTAATAAGTTAAATGGAGTCACGTGACGAAATGAAAGTTAACCTTGAACATTTTTGGTTATAATTCTTCTTGCCTGAAACAAAATCATTGTTTTATTTAACATATTTGGGCTACCTTTTCGGTCGGTTCATTCTTTTCATAGGGAATTATGCAAAGCATTAATGAAAAGTTTGAGGATTAAAATTATTATCGATAACCTATAAAAATAAAATATAACAACACAAATCATTTTACTTTCAGGATTGTGACTTGTACCTTCACACTTATTATCCATTATCCCATATTCTCATTATGCTCATTATGTCGATCTTTCAACCTAACCCAAAAATTTGCGTCATCATAAATAATGTATATCTAAATATATAGATGGGGAAAAATTAAAATAACGTGTCGATGGGAATTAATAAGTCCTTTTAAGTAAATCTATTACGCCAACATAATTACGGCGTAAAATTTATTTTTGTCCCTTAATTTTTTTTTAATTTCCTAAAAAGTCTTTAGTTCGCGTAATTTTGACGATGTTACTATAAATTATTATTAAAATTATTCAAATAATACTTTATAAGAATGGAATTTTCTTTTTTTTTAAACTTACCAACTTTTTACAATTGTTTCGATTAATTAAAAAAGAATAATAAGAATAATCTTTGAAAAGATATTTTTAAATTTTTTTTTTCTTTTGTCCCAAAAACAAAAAAATTCATTGTTAATACTATAATTGTAAATCCACACGAGGACACATTTATTGATACAAAGAAATGTCTCCTTAAAAGTGAACTATAATCAAAAATACCAATACTCCCTTTTAAAGATTGAAAATTGCAGATCATCGTTAAAAAACATATATATATTAATCGTGTTTTCTTTTAAAATGGAAATTTATAACAAATTAATGGCAAAAGTAGAAGGAGCTATAAACGATTTAAACAGTAAAAATAGGTCTGCTGAAGAAGAAAATGAGGGTCCGTTAGAATCAGTTTGCTTATTATTTCCTACTTATGCTACTAGGAATCCTGACGGTAATAAAAACGATAAAGTTTAAATTTTAATAAAGTTAGTGTAATTTAGCCAAAAATTAACGTTTTTGACTTAAAATAGGAAAGTCTACTACCGATGATTGGAATATTCGTGTTCGTGGTTGGGCATTCTCTGCACCAAAAAAAAGTAAAACGCGTAGTCTATTCTTAGGTTGGTATTATAATCATTCTAGTATAATTTAAGAAAAAGAAAAAATTTTAATTTTAATTCATTTTAAATAAGGATTAACGGCGTTGGCATTTCAAAAAGATGATGAAAGATTTCAATTTCTTGAATCACGTACATCATATTTCTGGGCAAATAATGTTAGTCAAGGAGAATTTACTGTACAAGTAGAAGGCTTGACTGATTCCAACAAAATGTCCATTGAAGGTGATCCTAATGATGAAGGTCCATTAACAACCACCGTTGAACCTCATGGAGAAGGTTCTACGACCACAACAGCAACTGTGAATGTACCTGACTTAAATAAAGTATTAAATCAAGCAGGGAAGATTATTAACCCACAAACTCATCCAGAAAGTGAAATTACTCGTGTAACAATTACTCCAAAATCAGGTCATTTCCATGGTAGTTTGGCAATTCCGAAACAAACTATTCATAAATGGATTGGGGAAGAAAATAATGAAAATGTTGTTACTGGACTTATTAATAATATTATTGGAAATAAAGATAAAAATAGAGTTAGATTATTAAAAGTTAGAGTTTTTAGAGATGGTATTGATCCTCATTATGGTGTTGTGAATCTAATTGAACCTGAAGGAGTTTCCATTATTTCCGTAAGTAACATCTTAGATCTCTAATTATTAAATATATAAGACTAATTTTATTTTTATTTCGTGTGTAGGATATTGATGATACAATCAAAGATACAAATATTCTCCGAGGTGCAAAAAGAGTTTTATCCAACACATTTTTGCATCCTTTCAAAGATGTAAGACAATTTTTATATTTCGATTAATTATAATTAATTATACAAATGAATAATTATTATTATTTTATTTTAATTAATTAAAGGTTCCAGGAATGGCCGACCTCTATCGTAAATTTGTAAGTTTATTTCATATATAGGGTCTTTTATAAGAATTTTCATTTATATATTTATTTTTATTTTTATTTTAGTATGAAAAAGGAGCATCAGTTCATTATGTATCTAACTCACCATGGCAATTATTTCCATCTTTAAGAAGTTTCTTTCAAACCTATAATTTCCCTCCCGGTTCGGCACATTTTAAATTTTATGATGGTTTAATTAAAAGTGCTTATGAACAAAAAGAAAATCCTATGGCTAGTAAATTCATGTACATTAGAGAGTTACTCAAAGTAAGTAATACTAATATAATTTCTTATTTAATGTTTCAAAATAAAATGAATTAAAAAAAAAAACTTTTTTTCATGACGTAATAGGATTTTCCTAATCGTAAATTTATTCTTATTGGAGATACCGGCGAACTCGATCCGGAAATGTGCGTAGTTTATTATTTAGCGTCATCATTTATAATAATAATTAACATTTATTTTTATTTAGATATACAACTATTGCAAGAGAAAATCCTGGAAGAATTCTTCGTATATATGTTCGAGATTGTACAACAGAACATGTAAAGGATTTGCCACCAGAAAAACCAAAACATTCATATACTCGAACCTTTCCAACAATTTATAATTATCTCCGTAATTACTATGCTGGTGATGAAGAAGAAATAAAGAATGAAACACCAGAGGAAAAGAAAGCTGAAGATGCGGCAACCCAGGTTATTGCACAGCAAGCAGCTGCAGCTACTTCAGGAGAAGTAACAACAGATCCCAGGGATCCTCATAAACCTGTACGACAGTCAAGTTTAACCAATCGATTATTAGATAAACTTCACGTAGATGTTTCATATTTATATGGTACTGCTATGGATTCACCTGATTCTATTGATAGCGATTCAACTAAATCAGCTACGAGTAAACCAAAAACTCCCTTAAGCGCGAAAATATTATCACCTCATAAAGCTGCTTCCATTTCTTCTAAAATAACAACAAAACTACGTAATATTAAAAGTGACAATAAAGCTGAAGATAAGAATGACAATAATTTATCTGATGATGATATCGATAATAATATTGATGATGACGATAAAAGCAATAAAGATAATGAAGTATTGAAAACCCCCTTGGAAATGTTCCACGAAAGACTTGAATTATTGAGAGAAGGAATACCTGATGATTTATTCCATACTTTTACTGATGCCAAAGAATTAGAAGATGACCCTGCTATTAAAGCAGCACTTAAATATTAAGAATGATATTCCGGTTACGTTTACTATATTTATTATTATTTATTGGACCAAATAAATTTATCAAATGAAGAAGTGAATGAGATGATGACAATGAAATGGTATCTCGAATCTATTAGGACAAATTTTCATTCGCGGTTACCTTCAAAGTTTCTTATATTAATTTATGTTCCTTTATTATCACGAACTAAATTAAAATAATTTTTCTTTCTAAAGTAAATATGAACACTTTACATATATTATAAACATGTCAAAATTTTGTAATATTTCACTTCCCTTAAAAAATAAAATACTTTAAACTTTTCAATAGAAATTTTCGTTTTTAAATAGCGCGATTGTATTAATTGATTGTCATAATACGAATTTGATATTTAAAATAATGAAGCATGTTTCAAATTGGGTATAAAAAATTTGAAATAATCGACAACTCTCCATTGCTGCCTTCTTTGATTTTAATCTTGCTTTAGGTGCTTCTCTCGTGCTCAACAGTACAAAGGTTTGAACTCATATGGAAGTATTTCGTCAGCTTTGCCCAGCTGAAAAGTTTACAAAATGTTTGAAACCCATTTGAGACTTTCCGAAGAATCGAGCATATCATCGACTCGTCGGAAGAGGATAGTGTGATGATGCTATTTCAGTTCCCGTTTTCTCCGCAGTACTGGCGCAGTCCAAAGATCACAATTTCCCCAGAAAAAATGTCACATTCACGTGATCGTTTTTTATTCATCACAACCGTCACCCCACTGCGTTTCCATTTTCTATAAGTATCTGAGGGACTTAGTTTTTTTCGAGTAGGCAAACCCTTATTCATCACCCCTTATTCGTCACTGTTTATTTTCACGTGTTAGTGCATAACGCCGTAATGCGGGCCAAATGTGACATTTTTCTACGGTGATACTGGGGAAGTTAAAGATCACGATCAGAATCGGATAATGCTGATCAATTTTTTTTGATTAGAAAACAAATCTATTTTAAAAACAAATCTATTTTTAAAAAATCGTTTCATTATTTCGTATATAAAAGCATCAATGATGGGTGATCCGTGAACTTTTACTTTTACGTTATTATTAAACAAAAAAAATAACAATGTATTCATGGAAACGCGGTAGTGCTCAATATCAGGTAGAATTTTTATATCGTAAATAATCAATTTATTTATATTTAGTTTTAATCATTTTTAATCATTTGTTTTTTTAAAAAAAAGGAATATGTTTCAATTTTTCATATTAATTCAACTGCCGAAGAAGAATATAATAAGACAGATGATAGAGTAATTTATATAGAAGATTTGGAAAAAAGAGAAGAAATATATGGAACATGTTGGGAATGTAAAGAACCTGGCACAGGAGAACTTTGGTGTCAATCTTGTAATGCCAAAAGATTTAAGGAAAATTTTAAAAATTGGACTAGTGGAAATAAAGATATTGATGAATTCATCCAAGATTCACAACTTAATGCTGTAAGTAGTAAGAAATGTCTTGAATGGATAACTTATGAGGATTTACAAGATATTACTTATATTACTAGAGGAGGGTTTGGTAAAGTTTATTCAGCTACATGGACTAAAGGATTTATTATTTATTGGGATATTGACAACCAAGAATATTATAGAAGTGAAAATGTTAAAGTTGCATTAAAAAGCTTGGATGATTCTTTCGACACGAATTTAGATTTGTTAAATGAGGTAATTTATTAAATAATTTACTTGATCTTTCACGCAAATATTAATTTTTTCAACGTCATATTGTACTAGATCAAATCTTATCTTCACATGTATACTTGGGATATTATTCAATATTTTGGAATAACTCAAGATCCAAATTCTAAAGAGTATATGATGGTTTTAGAATATTGTGAATGTGGAAATTTAAGAAATTATTTAAATGAAAATTATATGGATATAAAGTTAAAAATTCAGTACTTATTTCATATAGCAAGAGGACTTCAAAATATTCATGATGCTAAAAAAGTTCATGGAGACCTTCATATAGGAAATATATTACTTAATATGAATCGTAAACATGCATATATAAGTGATTTAGGAATGTGCCGACAAGCAAATAATGACAAGGAAGGAGGTTATGGAGTATTGCCTTATATGTCACCAGAAATTTTACGTGGATGCCAATATACAAAAGCAGCTGATATTTATTCATTTGGAATAGTGATGAATGAATTAATGTCTGAAGAAACTCCTTATAGTAATATTCCTCATGATCATACGTTAGCTGTTGGGATATGTAAAGGACTTCGACCAAATATCTCCGAAGATATTCCAAAACCGCTCGCAGATTTGATCGTTAAATGCTGGGATGCTAAAGCAGAAAATAGACCAACTGCTAAGGAATTATCCCATAAATTAAGAAAATGGAGAAATGAAATAAGAAACATGAATGGAAATTTTTATTCCCAAATAAAAGGACATAAATATATAAAAAGATTTAATAATGAAAATATATCTAAAAATATATCTAAAAATATAGAAACTCACCCTCAAGCAATCTATACCAGTAGACTGTTAAGTTTCAAAAATCTTCCGGAGCCAGTAAATTCAAATGATTTAGGTAATTTTCAATTTATTTATATAAAGATCCTCTATTATTGTATATTTTTTAACTTTTTTTTAATTTAAATTTCAGTTTCGGAGTGTTTTGATTGCGTAATTGATGAAACTGCGTAAAATTGTTATGATAATTATATCCGAAGAAATTTCGCCATAATTCATCATGATTCAAACTTTTGTGTATATGTATTTAATCAATCTTTCAATTGACTGCCTTTTATGTAAATGCCATAAATTGGCTTCAATCTTAAGGAACATTAACTCCTGATATAATCGTTTATGATATTAGAAAGTGTTTCTAGTATTGAATATTTCTTCGAATTTCGATTCGGATTTATTTACATAATTAACTTAGTCAGCTTTAATACCTTCTATTTCATGAATTTTTTCTAACTAATGTACTTTGTCATCATTCCCCATATTATAAAAAATTTTTAAATTCATTAATTCAAATGTTCAATTATTATATAAAATTTAAAATGTAAATTTATTGTATATTACATATATGAAATCTCCAAAAAAGAAATTAAATCTATAATTTAGAATTGTGATTTTCATATTCAACCAAATTAGTTAAAGTACCAATTTGCTCAATTTCAATTTCAATTTTATCATTGTGTTGAAGATAAATTGGAGGTTTCCTAGTATATCCAACACCTATAAATTCAAAAAATATATTTTATTTTTTTAATAAACAATGCTTCTTATTAAATCAAACATCATTGTTAATTAAAAACTATACCTTGAGGAGTTCCTGTTAAAATTAAAGAACCAGCTTGTAATGTAGTGCCTTGACTTAAAAAACTAATTAATTCAGCTACATTAAAAATCATATCAGATGTATTTGAATCTTGTAATAATTGATTATTATCGTTAAGTCTTGTTCTTATTCTTAATGAATTTGGATCTTTTATAATCGACGGTGAGACTAATTGTGGTCCGATTGGACAAAAGGTATCAAATCCCTATAAATTAAGATAACAATCAAATAAAACAGGTAAAAAAAAAAAAATCAACGAGGTATATATTTATAAATAACATACTTTACCTTCGAAAAACACCATTGACCAGATCCAAGTCTACTATCTAAATAATAAAATAAATTAATTTATTTAAATAATTTATAGAAATTTCTTAAAGAAATTAATTAGCACCTTGCCATTTCCTAGCGGAAACATCATTTGACGCAGTATATCCCAAAACATATTGTAAAGCATCTTCTTTACTAACATCTTTACAATCTTTACCAATTATCACAGCTAATTCAGCTTCATAATCAACTTGATTATTAGAAACTAAAGTAGGTATTCTAATTTTATCAAAAGGATTTTGTAAACTAGATGATGGTTTTATAAATAATATTGGATATTTTGGTATTGGTTTTGATGTTTCTATTGCATGTTCTCGATAATTCAGTCCAATACATCGAATTATTGGAATTTTTGATGGTTCTAATGGTGTCAACAACTAGAAATTTAAAAATAAAAAATAATAACTCCTTTAATTTTATTAATTATACTTAGCTATTAAAAAAAGAGAGACATTAAAATTTAAATTTTAAAAAGAATTACTTTTTTGACTTTGATCGTCTTATCCGTAATATTTATTTTTTCTTCCGTAAGAACATCACCTTGAATTATATTGGCTTTTAATTCCGAAATGGGCGGTAAAAATCCATTCGAATCAACAATAGGTTGACCCGAATATGATTTATTATCTTCACCTATGAATCTATTCATAAAAGGATTTTAATAATCAAAATAACAAAATAATTAATTAAAAAATTAAATAAATTTCATTACCGAATTAATCTCGTCCATCCAGTCTAAACAACAATAAAAGAACATAAATATATTTATATTTCAATACTTTTAATTATTTTAATTATAAAAAAAAACAAACCTGAGAAACCATTCTTGAAGAGGAAAATTTTCGATTAATCAAAGTATTGGTTTGTAAACCGCAACTAAGGGGTAGAAAATTATATAATCTTGGATTAATTTTGTTAAATTCACGTAAGAAATACATGCGTCAAAATATTATTAAAAAGCAAACGGAGAAAAAAATTTCATTTTTATCATCTGATAATCTTGTGTACTCACACGTGATATCACGTGAAACAGCATTTATCACGAACGTGAAAATTGTATATATAACTACCACAATCTTTCGACTATGAAATTATAACATTTGTTTACATCATATCTTTCCTACAATTCCACTTAACTTAATAAAACGTAAATTACTTTCTATAAGAATCGAGCCGCACTTTAATCATTATAATATTTAGTTATTTAAGGAATTTATATTTTATTAACGGTCCATTCGTTTATATATGCACATTAACAAGTTGTCAGTGTGGTGTAACTACTTGGAACACCCAAACCTATGAATTCAGCATCCGATTTCGAACGCATTCATTGCTGGTCATTCTCGATAAAAAACGAATGTTATATCAAATATTTCAAGTTAGGGATTCTATTGAAATAGATGCTTAACAAAGAATAAAATAATTCTTAGTTTGATGAATGAAGATGTAAAATTTTGGCTTTATGAAAAAATTTCAAGAGATGACACGAAATTAACACTTATACGCAGTAAATAAAACAGAATTAACTTAGTTCAGATATTGAACCACTTTTAATCGAGGAGTTTAAATGGGGAAGTTAATTCAAGCTTATTACAGTAAAGAGTAAAAACGAAAAATAAGATATTCTAATAAACAAATTCTTAATTTATAGTTCATCATTTTAATGTAGTTATAGTCATAATTTGTAAAGGCTCCATGGCCATTTTCTTTATATTCAAATGCTTCCTTTCGTTCTTTTTATATTATATTAAACATATTACGGAAACGTATAATGTAACTTGCATTTTTTTTTCTATAAAACGTATCTATTTAATCAATATTTGAAACTTATATTACAAAAATCAAAAATTACATATTTTGTATTTTAATCAAAAATTTTTCTGATTTCCAAATTATAGGGGACAAGTTTTAGGAAAACACCCCGGCTAATAAAAAAGAAACTAAAAAAAAGTATAAACCCTAAAAAATTTTGATTATAGTGATATTTCGGGACTATATCTAGTGATAAAGTCATAAAAAAGAAAAAATATTACTGATGTATACTGTATATACTGTTGTGTAAATTATAAATTTTGTAATTCATAGATGGTGAAAGATAAATTTTGTTATATAAACCCACCAAGATTATTTTGATTCTCCATAATACACACACACCTTAGAAATCTTAACCCAAAAAATTTTTTCAAAATTACTTTTTTCTAAAAAATCTCTTTCACAAATCATTGAATTTTGTAGACTATAATTTATGGACTACAAAATTCTTAAAATTGTTATAATTAAAAACAAAACATTAATATTAATATTAATTATTATTAATATATTAATTTATTTAAAATGAAAATTTATTTATTGAAAGGATTTTTTCCATTCAATGAATTATTTATTTTAATTTATTATTAAATGCCAATATGTTTTCTTTAAAGTTCATTGTTTAAAGAATAAAAAGAATAAAAAGGAAACCAATCTCCTCTGGAAATCTGGAAATAGATCCATGAGGAGATTTCGGTTTTCTTTTAGTCTATTCTAATTGTAGTTTATTGTAGTGGGAGAGCGGTACTTCTTTAACAATTTTTCGTGGGAGAGCTGTATTTCTTTAACAATTTTTCTAATTGTGGTGGGAGAGCGGTATTTCTTTAACAATTTTTCTAATTGTGGTGGGAGAGCGGTATTTCTTTAACAATTTTTCTAATTATGGTGGAGAGCGGTATTTCTTTAACAATTTTCTAATTGTGGTGGGAGAGCGGGAGAGCGGTACTTTAACAATTTTCTAATTGTGGTGGGAAAGCGGTATTTCTTTAACAATTTTTCTAGTTGTAGTGGGAGAGCGGTATTTCTTTAACAATTTTTCTAATTGTGATGGGAGAGCAGTAGTGGGAGAGTGGTTTTTCTTAATGTATTGTAGCGGAGGGTGGGTCATTATTTTTATATTTCGATAATAAAATTATATTTGTCAATATTTAATAAATTCATTTAATATTATTTCCTTTAAATAATAAAAACCAGTCATATCAATTGAATTTGAAATCATTAACGTTACATTATTTTGTGTGAACTTGTTTTGAAATAGGATTTCTTTTTTTTTTTTTAACAAGAAACCTAGGTCTAACTCGCAAGTGATGAATTTAATCTGTGAATCTTTTTTTTTTTTAAAAAAAAAAGAAACAAAACTGATCTGAAAACAAAAAAAAAAAAAATGCAGTGTTTAATTATTGAATAAAGTACCATTAATCTTGATATATTTGTATGATATGTAAGTAAAGCTGGATTGATCTATTTGTTTGTAGTGTGATATATATATATATTTTTCCTAGAGATTGGAACCGCCCAAAAAAACCTTACCCGGTTAACGTTAACTGGTCCCAATCTCTATTTTTTTCATGTTTAATAGAGGGACAAAAAGGATAAGAATTTAACAACTTCAAATCTTTACATTAATAATGTACAATATCGGATATATTTTGCCGGATTACTACTTAAGGAATGGCATTTTTTGTATATCTTTCTACGAAGGTATCAATAAAACTCTAAAAAGGTAAATAAACGAGATAAGTCACTTATAAAGATGTATGCAAATTAATATTTTATCTCCAAAAAATGCATATATTTATGTCATTGGGTATAAATTTAAAATTGAAGAAAAAAAAAAAGAAGACAAACTTGTTTTTTTTAAAAAAAAAATTCTGACTCGTTGAAATTTTTTTCAATAATACAAATTATTCAGGAAATTATCTACATGTATTGTGATATAGTTATTACAAACATATTTTAATAATATTCATTGATTTTCCTCTTGTTATCTCATTGTTAGATGTTGGAATATGCATAAAACAGGTTTTCTTTGGGATTTTGACGGTTTACTTACATGCATCTAGGTCACAGGCTTGTGGTTGAAAAAAACAAGTTTATTGACAAAAATGGAATTTCATATGTTGAACAACAGCAGCCGCGGCAAACAGGAAATTACAAAGTAAGCTATTTTCAGGTTGTCCGCTACAAAGTCCGCTATAATGATGAAATCACCAATGATAAAATGCATAACAATGTAGTAGTTATCAATGGGGTTTTTCCGATTTTGGATCATCTCCTTAGATCTGTAACGCAGTAAATAACCTTTTTCAGATTCTATTAATTTCCTTTAATCGAATATAATATTTTTCAGAACAATGTTATATACTTAAATAACAAAAGAAAGTAGTATGATTTTTTCTAATATATTTTAATATATTTTGAACATATTTAATATATATTTTAGTATGTAATCACCCTAAAATTACATCCAATTTAATATAATTGATTTGGTGTTTTCACAAAAGAATGCCTAATTTGGTTTAATGTTTTTCTACTTATGCAGATTTTTGAACATGTGATTAAAAATTTTTCTCACAAAAAGAACAAAAGAATGCCTAATTTAGTTAATATAATTTTTTACCTTATCAACACTCTAGTAAACGGGTAATAACTTGATTATTTTACTAGGCTTATTTTTTTTTAAAAAAAAAAATTTATACAGCCAGTGATGTTTCTTCATGCAAGAGTCCAAATGTTTTAGAGCATATGATTAATTTTTTTCACAAATAACAAAAGAAAAGTTCAATTTGGGTTAATAGAATATCTTTATTAATAAAAAGAAGATTCTTTTGTTCTGTTTTATTAGAGACTTTATTTTTTTAAAAAAAATTAATTATTTATTAATGCAGACATCCATTTTGCTTTTATGCAAGAGCTCAAATGATTTTGAACATATGATTATATCCTTTTATTCTTACAAAGAGACAAAAGAAAAACCTGATTTGGTTAATTTAAAATACATAATACTTCTTGGCAACAGATAATTCGTTCTAATTTTATTATTAATGACTCTATCAGTTTATCTAATATCCTGCAACATGACAATTGAACAGGTCTATTTTTTTATTATTATTAATCTTCATGCATGAGTTCAAATGATTTGAACAAATATGATTAATTCTTTTTCATTGAAATCCTGATTTGATTAAATGTAAATTTTCCAAATAGAATTTTTACTCTTCTCTTTAGAACCATACATATTTTTCCCCAACATTTTTTTTCTTTTAGCAATTTAATTGATTATTCTTTTTGTTACGCGTTTCACCAATTTTTAATTCCCCCCATTTCAATTCCAATTTAGCATAATTCATTAACTTTGATTTGAAAGATATTGTACCTCTTTATTATCACCATAAAGAAGGGAGGAGGGTAGAGTAAATATCGGTCACCAAAAAGTCAATAGTATGTGTACTCCCCTAAAATTATTGTGCATCCCGTTAGGAAAATTTCTTCTTGTGCGTATAATGCTAGTAACGGTCCATGCAACCTTCTAAATTTTGAACATTTTATTCATTTGAATCTAAATTTGATATATAAAGAATTTACGCTGGTCATCTATCAGAATTATTATCCTATTGGTTGGTTAGTCACGTGAATTAAATTCCGCAGCTAGCTATGCATGCATCAGATTTCGTTTCCAACAATTTCTCCAGCTCTTCATAATACCGCAGTATGCCGTAAATATGCGCTCTTTTGATGGCCTTATACTCTTATTTACGTGATAATCTTATGCACACAGCCATATCGAATAAGGTATTCTAAGTTCTGAGTCGACGACATCTTGATTACAATTTGCATTAGACGTTCCGCGTCCGTGACAGTACATTTAAGTGTGTTACACACTAAAATTTAAAAGCGAAAATTTCGTCATGTAGTGTAATCCTTTGTCAATATAATATATAGAGTCTTACATAATGTGCATATATATATATACTGTATATGCGTTAGCGTGTTTAATTTGATTTGATTTTGACCAGATATAATTTGTCGTCGAATAAAGTTTGAACACGAAAATCAATCAACGCGAACTCAAATTTACAATGATAAAATTTAACCCTTTTTATATATAAAATTATTAAGAAGTACTTTTTTATTAATAACATACATAAAGTATAGAAAAACTTTGTTGCTAACATCATACCCTTTTATTTATTAGCCAAAAATTGAATCGAATAAAGAGAAGCTCAATTTTAACTAAAATTACATACGGTATATTAATAATTCATTTTCTTATTAATCAGGAAATTAAGTTCCCATCATACCTTCCCATATCCCTCTATAAATGCTTTCAATTCTATTAACATTATCTTCTCTACACTAGAGATGCAAACAAAAACTATTTAGCCTAATTTAGCCCTATAGCATAATTTAGCCAGGTGAAACTAAACATTAACAAAACATTTTCTCCTTTTTTGTATTTGATATTAATCTAATATATCATAATATATTCTTTTTAAAAAAACAAATAGGATTGTCTTATTTATAATAAAAATTTTATTTATTTGAAAAAGGTTTAGCCCTCATTTTTTCAAGATTAGGTTTTGTTTTCATCCTTACTCTACACTTCATGTAATTGTTTTCAGGTAATTCTTTATCAATTATAAAATTTATTAAAACAGATTGAGTTGTGGTTATATTGGTTATATCAACTTAAAGATTTTTTATGTTAATTCCTCCGAAAAATTTATTAGCGTTACGGAAATTTATATTTTTAGGTAAAATTTTGTATTTGACCATTTAATTATGTAAAAGTAGTAAACAAAAATATACTGTAATTCTAAAATCAGACACGTAAGTGTCATTGCTTCGCGTTGGGTGTGATTTCTTTACCTCCTGCCTCTTTTAATCATCCACAAATAAACCAATAATAGTTCCAGCTAATGATTATCATGGGACCAAGAAAGACTTGAATGAGGTGCTACGCACGTGTAGATATATACTCATATATTAACGTGACCTCTAATCAGGTTTTCCAAACTTTTTTATAGATTGGGAACTTTTTTCTGTAAAAATAAAGTCACGTTCCGCCCGACTTCAATTCTATCCATTTATCTGAGCAAGGCTTTACGTTGTTCGTTTTTCATAAAAGAAATAATATCCTCTGAATCTTGGAACGAAAAAAAATCGGATATTAGTTTAAGTCACTTCACCCGAAAATACTGCACCTTATTTTGCGTATTCGTATAGCCCGGAACTTTTTTTTTTTCAAAAAATTTTGGAAACACTTCACATAATTTTGTTAGAGTTTATAATTACGCTTCGGAAGTAATGAGAAAAATTGAGAAATTTTCCCGTCATCATACACTTGTTTTATGAATTATCAACCTGACCATTGAAATTGATCTATTTTTCAACAATAATTTCGAACATATTTACTATTCTATACAATTTTCCCACCATCCCCGACCTCGCCCATAATTGTTAATGATACTGTTTATTTGAAGTTAACATAAGTTAGATGAGTTTTAATTTTTTTATCTTTTCTTGACAGATATACTGTATTATAACAGAAGCAATAATATACAATGCGTCTGTACCAATACAATTTAGTACAGTACTGTACGACTGTACTGTACTATACTTAGTAAATACATTATATGCTATGTATGGATTTTTTTTTTTTCAAAAATTATTTTGTAAACGAAAATAAACTACACAAATTGTCTTTTTTAAAATATAATTTCTAAATTCCTTTGGCATCATTATTTTGTACTGAATGTTCAATATTATAACATTAAATTCGTTATCAATATATACTATAGAGTTTTAATCACAAGTTTTCTGGAATATCAAGTGAAAAAATTTTTTGATGCAATGTAGATTATCGTTATCGATAGTATTAAAGTACAATAGTAGAGTTACGAAAAATTTGCTAATAATAAACTGTGTCTGGATCCCTGCATAAATATTTACTTTCTCAAAAGGTTGATCCGATTGTGTATGAAAAAAATCAAAATAATTATTGTTTAGATTTTTTTGATAATCAAGTCTTATTATGTACAGTAAATCACAATCCGCATCAATTGGCTGATTTACAATTGAACTTTTTAATTTATTTTTAATAATTATTATGTAATATTATCCACAAAAGTTTAAATACAGTATTCGTTTACTATCTTATCCCGAATAGATCCAGCAAAAATTTCGTTCATATTGATAAACCAATTAAATTTAAAAAATTTTTGGTCTATACTTCAAAAACCGTTATGAATCGGATACAGTGTATCATCACAAGATGGAAAAATTTTTTGATAAAATGACCGCAAATATTTCTTAATAAAATTTAAATCATGCCATCTCATGAAATTGTCGAAATTGATGAATCGCCAAATTCGAACCATGGCTTTTCCTTTTGGAACGAGCCTTTACTTTATATTCGCTCATCCGTTAAAGAGAGAACATTACATATGAAAAAGAACACTTCTCTATCTGAATTGAGTGGCAGTCTTGGAGATTTGGGCACCTTACTTCCAATCTTGGTAGCTCTTTCAATCAATGGACAAATTTCTTTGACTTCATCACTTATATTCGGAGGTCTATGGAATATCGTTAGTGGCTTGATGTTTCGAATCCCTATGTGCGTTCAACCTATGAAAGGTGATAATTTATTTCGTTAATTTTACTTTTTTTTTTCTTTTTTTTTTAAAAAAAAAAAGTTAATAATGTCTTAATGTCTATATATAGCTATTGCAGCGGTTGCAATATCGGCAAATTTATCAATAGGAGAAATCATGTCAGCAGGTATTGGTGTTGGGTCAATGATACTTATTCTTGGTATCACTAGAACTATTAAAATCATCGAAAAATGGACACCTATTCCAGTTGTCAGGGGTATTCAATTGGGAGCGGGCGTAACGCTGATAATAAAAGCTGCTGATATGGTTCGAAAAAGTAGTGGTTGGGGTGGTAGTTCTTGGAAATGGAATGATAATTATGAATGGGCTATTCTATCGTTCATATTCGTATTCACATTTTATTCATCAAAAAGAGTACCGTCAGCACTAATTCTATTCATTGTTGGGCTAATAATCGCCTTAATAAAAGTTTTTAGATCTGACAGTATATTACCATCAGCCTCATTTAATTATCCTGAAGTTATTGTCCCAACTTTAGAAGAATTTAAAGTCGGATTTCTTAGTGCATCTCTTGGTCAACTTCCACTGACAGCTCTCAATTCTGTTATCGCATTAGCAGCATTAGCTAATGATTTGTTCCCGGAACGTTCCTCATTGAATACTGTTGGAAGAATTTCAATTTCCATCGGACTTATGAACATTATTGGATGTTTTTTCGGCTCTACCCCATATTGTCATGGATCGGGTGGACTGGCTGGACAATACCGTTTCGGCGCAAGATCCGAAGTTAGCATTTTGATTCTTGGATTTTTTAAATTGATTCTTGGGATATTATTTGGAAAGACTTTAACTAGTCTTTTAAATTATTTTCCCATGTCAATTCTCGGTTTAATGCTCTTTGTTTCTGGAGCAGAATTATCATCTGCAGCACGAAATTTCGTGAGAAAAGGTGATCATGATGATGATGAGACAAAAAAGAAGAATTTTACCCTAGTGATCGTAACAGCAGGATTATTGGTCGGCTTCCAAAATGATGGAATTGGATACATTGGTGGTATGCTGGTTAGCCTTCTGTTCTTTATTACCCACTATTTCCAGCATCGCCGATCTAGTGACTGATCTTTAAAAACTTTAATTTGTACAACACAATCATCCACATATATACAGTAAATACACACTCAGTTAATCAGAAACTTTATTATTTTTGTTTACATGATGTAAAAATGCTAAACTTAAACTTGTAAATATTATTATGTTCTAGCGCTTAGTATTCCCTTCCAACTTTAGATACAACATATTTGATATTATCCAATGAATTAAATAAATAATGCCATAAATATATTTATTCATTTGATATAATATCGCTGAGTTTTAATTTACTAATTGGCTGAACGATAATTTTGAGTATGATTATTACCCCATGAAGAGATTTCTCCTTTGTCTGTCGAGTTAAACCTTGAGTACGGATTCTGATTGTATGAAAATTCGGACTCTTGGTGTAGAATCCATTAAGTGGTAATAATATCATAATTATAAAATTGTTGGATTACTATTCTTGTCTTTTCATCTAAAATACTTTCTCTAATTTCAATCACCAAGATCAATAACTCCGCTTAAAATCCGGCATGTGAGTTTGTTGTTGTCCCTAAGCTTACTACTGACAATTATGGTTGTTCCTTCGTAGTAGTCTTTGATGTAGTACATTTTGAGAATATATGACGGGTGGTAGAGTACATGACAATTCCTCTTCCAAGTTGAGATCTTTAAAACAAAGACGTGTTGAGTAAAGTTTGCAGGACAAATTAACGAAAATATACCAAGCACTTGCATGGCAACTTTACGATAATATGAATCTTTTATGTCCCGACTTTCAATAAGTTCGTCTTGCCCTAAAGATTATTCAGGAAAATCCATTTCCACTATCCTTTTACATATTCTGTTACCTTAGAAACCTTTAATGCTTTCTATCGCTCTTTAAACTAAGCACATTCTCGATAAGTTCTTTGTATCATAAATGTCAGCAAGAGCGTTGTACCATCTCAATTTTGATCTTTATTTTTTTGTGAAGCATGATTGGTGCAAACTGTGATCTTGTGGAACAAGGAAAATAATTCATTATTTTGTTTTTTAAAAAATACAATTATTAATAATATAAAATAATAAAATAAAGTAACATTAAAAATATATAATACATGACTATAACTGAATACATTGGTATAATCAATATATATATTTTTATATTTATTTGTTTTTTGCATATAAAAATATGATTTTTACTTCAAATCACCGGGGGTGAACATCACCGTTGGCCGGAATTATCAATTTTTACCGGCACTATATTTTTTTAATGCTGGTCGATCATCGTTATTTCAGTCACCGGTGATCATCACCCCGGTGATAGTTAGAAAAATTCTAAAAATATATATATGATTTAACCTGGGTAATTTAACCTATTAGTAAATTTCATATAATTATATAATTTTGCCCAAATTTTCAAAAAAAAATGTAAATTATAGTCACAATCAAAAACAAAAGACTATCAAGAATGTAAGAAAACTTGGTTATTAATAATACTATACAAATAATTTTTTTTTTAAAAAAAAAAATGATTGATGTGAAATATAAATTTTAAGAGGATGATTTAACCCAAATTATTTAACCCAGGGGGTAAGCTCTAAAAAAAAATAACTGTTGCTAATTTACTCTTCAATATATAAATTTATTAAAATCAGATGATTTCACACATGTATAAAAAATTAAAAAATTTATATATAGTTTTAATCTAAAATACATTTACTGTAAATGGAAAAATCTATAATCTCATTATATTATATTATAGTTCATATGATTTTTACAGACTTTTAATAACTATACTGAAGTTAAAAATAATTAAAATTGAAATAAAAAGATAAAATAAAATAAAATCAAAATAAGATTAAATGAAATTAAAAATAAAATATACAAAGTTAGAATAAACTAAAACCAATAATAAAATAAATGAAAAGATTAATAAATAATTAAAATTAAAGTAAAATTAAAATTAAATATAAAGTAAAATATAAAAAAAAAAATAAAAAATTTTAACAAAAAAAAAAAGAAACTTAAAAGAAATCCAAAAAAGAAATTCAAAGAAAAATTAAAAAAATCTAAAAAAGAAATATAAAAAAAAAATCCAAAAAAAAATTCAATAAAACTTAAGAAAAAATCCAAAAAAAAAGTTTACAGAAAAATCTGACTTTTAAATTCTGAAAATTTTGAAATTTATTATTTACTAAAATATAGTTAACTTTCTTTATAATTACACATTTAGAATAATTCATTTAAAAAGATATGACTATAAATAAAAAAATTTTTTTTTATAAATTTTAATAATAAATATATTATAAAAACCTATAAAATAATTTATTTTAATATATTTATTGAATTTATAAAATATATTTGTAAACAAGTAGAATGTGATTTATTTAAAATAAATTTGATTTTTGTATTTTTTTTTTTTAAATAAAAAACATTATTTCCTTGAATATAATAATAATAATAAAAAATTATTTTTTTTATCACATCTATATTATGTTATACCCCTATAATATGTTATATATAAAAGTAAAAATAACACTTTTTAATATATTAAGAAAACTTGTAAAATAATCAAAAATATGTATAGTATAAAGTTTTTTATAGTATATAATAAGTGCATAAAGTTTCATACCATAAAAAATAGAAAATCTTAATAAAATTATGTAATCAAAATAATTGACATAATTAATATTAAAAAAGGAAGATATAACATATTGCAAGTGCAAAAAAAATCATATTTCAATATTTATTGTATTATTTATTATAAAATTAAAATTTAAAACTTAATTAGGGAGCTTACACATATTACATAATTATTATAGGGAGGAGGAGGTAGTTAAAATTTTACGTTACACTTATTTAAATCATATGATTTATAAATATTATAATTTGATTGGTTATAAAATCTAACAAGGGGGGGTAAGGTTTATAATAAAATGAATATTATGTGATATGTGTAACTTCTACAGGTCAAAATGCTAAAAATCGGCAAAAAAAATGGTGCGAAAAGCAGTGGCTATTCTTGGCTATTCTTGGCTATTCTTGGCTGTTTTTGGCTATTTACGAATTAACCTATACTATTTGTAAATAGTTTATACAAATTTGCGAATAGTTTATGCGATTTGCGCCATTTTTTTTGCCTATTTTTGGTCATTTGACGTGTGTCCCCTTATATTAATTATTATTAATTGTTATAAAAATTCCAAAATCAATTATACAATATTAATAGTATTTAATTATAAGAAAAATAATAATTTTTAATTAACTTTTATTGTAAAAAACTAATATAATAAAATTTTAAATCTAAAGTATACTAATATCTAAAAAGTTTAAAATCTTTTATTTTACAATTATTATCAATAGGTTGTTGTTTATAAAAAAGAATTACCTTTTTAATTACTTCTTTTAGTGAAACTTTTGAAGTTAATACCTTGCTTTTCATTATTAGTATTATTTTTTGCAGCAGGCCTGCAGGTATTTCTTTATTTTGTATATATAAGATTTATAATTTGTATATTATCTAAGATTTTTTTTGGTATGTAAAGAAATTTGCATCATTAATATGATTCATTAAATCATATTGAACCTTATTTATTATCAATAAAAATAGTTGAAATAATATTTGAAATTTTATTAATAAGTATATCTAATTTTATACCATATGGGCCGATTCTTGGAATCTAATTTTTTACACAAAAATAATTTTATTAAAGCAAATATAAATTATCATTTATATAAGAATAATAAATTTATACTAGATAATGCAAAAAAAACTAATTAATTATATAATTTTTAATTTTTTTTTAATATAAGATATCATTAAAATTTAAAAGATCAAATATAACTCTCATGACAAAATCATTGATAATTCTTCGTAGAAATAAGCTATACAAATAAATTTACATTCATTTGAAAGAGAAAATCGAGATCTATCTAATGAATCTAAAATCAAGTGAATTGAATCACTAGTTGTTCAGTAATCACGTTCAGTATATTTATTGAATTTTATCTAAATTTGATCATTAATTACTTCACATGTAGTGATTCAATTTGAATGATCTTTGCTCCCTAAGGTGATGCCAACTTTTATCTTTAAAATAAATTTAAAATAATTCGTTTAATATATGTAGATGTTTAGGAATCATCAATTATATTATTAATATAAAATTTTATAAGTTTGATAAAATCTGATATAAAAAAATTTATTAAATACCTGTAGATGCAAGCTACACGAATGAAATTATATTCATTTGAAAGAGAAAATTGAGGTCTATCTAATAAGCCTAAAATCGAATGAATTGAATCACTGGATTGTGAATAATTACGTCTAATATATTTATTTTTAATTTTTAAATTTGATTTGACTTTGATCGTTAATTACGCCTCATCCAGTGATCCAATTTTCCTGATCTTTGATTCTTACGATAGAGCAAATTCTCAGCTTTCAAATGAATGTAAAATGATGACGTTAGCATATCTCCAGGAATAATAATGCACGATTTTGTCACCTGCATAAAGTCCGATCTGAAAATTTTATTTCTTACCAAAAAATGCTTTCATAAGAGAATCCCAAATTCTTTTACTTTATTTAAAAGATTTTATTTGCCATTTAAGGATTTTAGTAGAATAAATCTAATAAAATAATTTTAAAAGATAAAAAACAAATATATAATTAGTTATTTTGAAAAAAAAAGAATATCTTATTATTCATTTTACAACTATTTTACATCATAATTATTTTTTATTTGCATGTATTTTTTACAAAGAAAAAACAATAAATTAAAGCTAAAAATTATGAAAAAATATGTCTTATCTATGTATATAAAATATTAAGTTTTTTCTTTTACTTACCACTTAAAAATAACTGCTATATTTGCTTATAAACTTTTTTGTCATATTTAATAAAAGTGAATAGAAAAATGATGGAAAAGTGATGGGCAGTGATGGGGAAAAAGAAGTGGTTATTACCGTTATTTTTGAATATTGATTAAAAAAATTTTTTTTATTTTTTATTAAATCTGAGTTACGTAAATATGTAACACATATTTAATTTAGATTTGTGTAATGTTAATCTTACTAAAATATTAAATTTTTATAAAAATCTTAATTTAGACTAATTCCAAAAATCGGCACATATGCAATAGCTTATATTTTTTAAATTGATTCAGAATCAGAAATAAATAGCAAATTGCATATAGTTTTCTATTTTACACTTTTTCAAGTTTAACAATAAAATCAATTGCTTATTTAATATTTAATTTATTTCTATACTTAAAAAAATTAGTAAATATAAAAAAAATATAAAATTACAAAAAAAATAAATGCTTGCTTATATCAAAACCTTATTCAAATTATTTAATTAAATTTCAAATATATAGCTACTTATAATTTTATATTTAAGCAATAATTTTTAAAGTTTTGAATTATTTTAATTTCTATTAGCTAAAGTTTTGATGTTATATTTGGTAGAAAAAATATGATTCAAATATTAGTAAATTGAAGATTATCTTTTTTTTCCTTCTCTATTAGGGCCCTTATTTTAAATTTTAGTTTAAAGATTCTTCAAATTCATCACTAAAATTATTCTTATCATTATTATTATAATTATCATTATAATTATTATTATTGTTTACTAATTTTTTTTTTAATTTTATTACTTTACTTCTATTTATATTAGTTACTTTTTTTACTGAAATTTACATTTATAATTAAATTAATTGATAAAAAAAAATATAATAAAAAGTATATTTATAAGTTTTATACATCAAACCCTTTAATTCTAAAGTATGAAGGTAAAATTTATTGTAAATTTATATACAAAATCAATTTTATTGTAAATTTATACAATAAAACAAATCATTATTTGTTTAAATCTATACTTTAAACTTTAGTCAATTTTTTATATTCATACATGTATAATAAGAATCATAGATCAAATTTTAACACTAAATTATTAAATCTATATAATAAAATTTCTATTATTATATCTAGAGATTCTAACAGGACATAAAAAATTTATTAATACAGGTAATTATTGGTATATAGAATATCAGTATATAGAAATCTAATTGTATATTAAAATACATTTTATTAGATATCTTGCCACTTAGTAATTGTAAAAAAATGAAATATAACTCATTTAATTTATTTCAATAAAATAAGTTAAATAATATTAGTTTTACATGTTATAGTTCTAAATTAAATTAAATTTGATGAGATAATTTGATTTTTAGTAAATTATATTAATTTTAAAGGGAATAATTACCTTTAAAAAAAATTTATTTATTAAATTAAATTACAGCTAGTTAGTCATATATTATTTATTTACAGGTAAGTGAAGGTATATGATATTATCTAAAACTAGTGGCCAATTTAATTTTAAAATTTTTAAATATTAAATTGAACCTTTTATTTTAATCATATAATCATATAAACATTTATTTGAAAATACAAGCAAGTTATCTACAGTTGCTAGTAAATTTCTTAATTATAATAATAAATAATTAAATTTAAATGTATACAAGCTAACTTTTTATAAATGCTATAACAGGAAATCCTGAACTTAAAAAGAGTGTCATATAAGTTTAGAATCATGCATTTAAAAGAAATGCATTTATAGAGAATATATCTACACAGAGTTAAGTGTCTTTCTTAATTAGCAATAATATAAATAAAATGAAGTTAATAATAGTTTAATGCGTAATTTACAGTGAAATTCCCTTATTAATTACTGTTCATTTTCAATACGCGCGAATACTATGTAGGGGATGATTTGAAATTTCATATATAAAGAAGTATAGATTTATTATCATATGATCGATAAGATCGATCATGACGATCAACACAAGGATGTTGCCGTATTTGGACTCTGTTAATTTGTAATTTATAGGTCCGAATTAATTCCGGCCGAGAAATTCAAATTCGGTCGTAATCGATCAAAATCTTTGTTTGGTTTAATTCCTTTTATAGAATACCAATTCTTATCTCGGTCAGGATCATTACATTATTCATTTGATAAGCCAACCATCTTTAGTATAAATTCGAGGACAAAGGCTTTTTTTAATCCTATTTTTGAACTATAATATTCATGCATGATATATTAATAGTTGATTCAAAAATTTTTCCGTCACTAGATTTTGTGACAATAAGAACAATAAGTAGATAAACAATGGAGAAAAAGGAGTTATTGCCGTTAAGAAAAAAATTTTTTCTTTTTTACAAACAAAAAAGCCAAAAATTTTTTTTTAAAAAAGAAAATTGTTTTAAAATATTTCGTCATGATGGTCACGAGAAATGAAATTTTCAAGAAAAAAAATTAAATTATTAAATTATGCATATGATATAATCACAATATAAAATATATACCCCGCATAAAAAAAAAAAGAATAGTTCCAAATTATCTTTCTAAAAAAATTTTTTCAAATTTTTTATAATAAAAAAATGTCTCCACCTTTATTAACAACGGATTGTTTACATCTCATTTTCAAGGATTTTGAAGAAGATAGATATACTCTACATTCATGTCTTTTAGTGAATAGACTCTGGTGTGAAACTGTAGTATCTTTATTATGGAGTCAACCTTTTCGTTTAACACGTAGAACTCCTTCCTCTAAATTAGTTCAAACATATATAAATTGTCTTGATCCACAAGTACTTACCGATAGTGAAAAAGATATTTTGGAAATTACTGATAATAGAATACCACCAACATTTGATTATCCATCGTTCTTACGACAAATCTCATATTTAGATTTATATAATGGGATTGCTGCATGGTTTGAATGGTATGAACCATGGGGAGAAGTATATCGAGAAAGAGTAGCTTTGGTATCTAAATTGTTAATTTACTCTTTTATGAGTCATTCATCTGCATTTCATAAACTATCAATTGAAACTGGTGAAATGGTTATGGTTCCAAATAACCATCTTAATTTTTTTTCACATCAAGGTTCTGAGATTTGTTTATCTAAACTTCGACAATTTATATGTATTGGAGATTTTTTGAAGGCAGATATTTTCGCGGGAGCTGCTAAAATTTGCAAAAATATCAAGACATTATTTGTAAGTCCAGGTCGAGTTTGCACTTCGGGAAATAGATCTGTTCCTGAGAAACAATATGATTCCTTAATAAATCTTATTAAAGGACAAAAATCTCTTGAATATTTTGTTATTCATACTTGCAACAAATCAAGTCGCATAATTTCTGCGCTGCTTGAAAGTCAAATTAATTCTTTAGTTCATGTGGAATTCTTTAAGGTAGATTTTATAGAATGTGTTACATTAGCACCTTTGGCAGAATCGAAAAAATTAGTGACTTTAACATTCGAAGAATGTTCAAGTCTTGAGAATATAATGGAACCATTTGTTTCTAGTTCATTAAATCGGTTAGAAAAACTTAATTTTAAAAAGTCTACTGTTAGGGATGATGTTTTAGCAGCTTTAATAAAAAATGCAGGATCAACTTTATCTACAATATATTTAGGACCAATAGAAATTAAAGATGTGTATAATCCAAATATAGTAATCGATTTAATCACAAAATATTGTCCGAACCTTGTAGATTTGGCATTAGATGTTCAAAGGCCTGACCTACCATATTTATTAACTTTATTAAGTTTTAGTAGATATCTTAATAAGTTAGAAATTTTTGGAAGCATTCTTCGTATTGATAGTTTATTAGAAAATTTCTTTCACGCTCTTCCACCTACCTTAGAACATTTAATAATTAATGCGGATTGGCATTTTTCCGCAAACGAACTTGCAATTGGGTTAGAGAACTGTAAAGCTAGATTAAGAAGTTTACATATGCCAGATTGTTATTTAATAAGTGATAATCACCTTTGCGTTATAACTGAATATTTAGGTGATAGTTTACAACATTTAGATGTTAGTTATGCATCACCTTCACAAGTAACTAGTGAAGGATTGAGAAAAGCACGTTCAATTATTAATCGGGTTGATTATGTTTATAAAGAAGATAGAAAATATCCTACATTTTGGAATTTGAGATATTGGGGCGAAGAATGGGTTGAAGAACCGATCGTGGATCGCACTTTTGAACAATGGGATTGGGAGAATGGCGAAGAAGGATGGTATGGCGTAGATTGGAAAAAATAAATTTAATTAATTTTTATATTTAATGTTTTATTATATTAATAATATATATATATATTTTTTTTTTTTATGTAATAATTTGAGAACTACTTTTATTTTATTATTTCTTGGTTAGAACTGACTTTGTTTATTTGTTAAAAAACGATTGTATTTTAGATTATAAGGTAATTATAAAATGAATCATTAAATTACGCGTTTTGGAGTATCATCATAATTCATTCGAAAACATTTTCCCGTTTTCAATATCATTCTCAGTTATAAAATTTATTTGATATTTCATTATTACATGGAATTACATAATGTTAAAATAAATTAAAAAATATTTCTATTTCATCCATTTAATTCTTTATTTTTCATATATTGATTACTATTATTAGCGACCGAATGTGATCTACCGTAAAGGAAATAAATAACCAACCCGATTAACATCCAAACAAGTAATCTTATTAAACTAGCAGTAGTAGCAGTAAACAATAATAATAAATCTAATAAAGCTCCTATAATAGGAATCAAATAAGGTCCTCCCGGAACTTTAAATTTTCTTGGTGCATTAGGAGCTGTAATTCTTAATACCAAAACTCCAATATTTACTAAAAGGAATGCTAATAAAGTGCCAACTGATGTTAATTCTGCTAGTACCCCTATCGGAAGAAGAGATGATATAATTGCACAGATTACTCCTGTGACAGCCGTTGAAATGTGCGGCGTTTTATACTTTGGATGAATCTTTGATGCAATTGTCGGGAAGAATAATCCATCCCTAAAAAAAATAAAAAAAAATTCAAAAGAAAAAGATTAAGGAATGTGAGTTTATAAATTGCAAAAAAAGGTCACGTAACATGAGAACTTACTTTGCCATTGCATAAAAAATACGTGTTTGTCCCATGAGAAAAACAAGTATACCAGATAATAATCCAGCGAGAGCACCAAAATCTACAATAACTCCTAACCAACTCATTCCCATCGCATTAATCGCAACAGTTACGGGAGCTGGATCATTCAACTCGGGATAATGAACAATCCCTGTTAAGACAACGCAAACTGCCACGTATAAAATAGTACAGATGATTAAACTCACAATGATTCCAATAGGTAAATCTCTTTGTGGATTTTTAGCTTCTTGAGCAGCAGTAGATATAGAATCAAATCCAATATAAGCAAAAAATACAACACTTGAAGCTGATAATATTCCAGTTATGCCGAATTCTGAGAATGATCCCTCATTTTGAGGAATGAAAGGATCGTAATTTTTTGGATTAATCTTAGTTATTCCCACTATAACAAATAATAATATAACAAAAACTTTTAATGTAACGGCTATGTTGTTTACAGTTGCAGATTCCTTAATACCCAATATCAATATAATTGTAAGAAATAAAATTAACAAAAACGCCGGTAAATTGATATAAGCACCGGGGATTCGTAGTAAATATCCTGTAGAATGATCAAAAACTAGTGGTGCACTCGTCCATGATGGTGAAAGTTTTATTCCAAAATGATCAAAAAAATTAACGAAATATCCTGACCATCCAACAGCAATTGTCGAAGCACCAACTGCGTATTCTAAAATTAAACTCCAGCCAATAATCCATGCGGCGAGTTCACCTAATGTCGCATAAACATACGTATACGCAGAGCCGGCCACCGGAATCATTGACGACAACTCCGAATAACATAATGCCGCGAAACTAGCTGCAATTCCCGAAATTATAAATGAAATTACTACAGCTGGTCCTGCTTTTGTAGCTGCAGCTTGTCCTATAAGAAAAGGAATTAAAAAAAAGAATTAGAAATTAATTAAATTAATTAAATTGATCGTTTTTTGTTTTTTAGCAAAAAAAAACACTGTTTTATTTTTTACCTGTGATAATTAATATTCCAGTGCCGATAATACCCCCCAAACCGATCATTATCAAATCGAATGCACTCAAAGTTCTTTTTAAACCCGATGTATCTTTTTCCATTTCAAAACTTTCTAAAGATTTGGTCGTAAATAATTTTCGTAAATGATATTTCCATGCTGATTCATCGGCTTGTCTTGGAGCACCTGAAGTGAAAAACTCGTAACCAGACATTAAACCTTTAAAAAGTACGTATTCTTCTTAAACAATATTTAATATAATTAAATTTAGAGGGCAAATTTATCATTAATGCTTTTTTTAAAAAGCAACAAAAGGACTGCTCGTAATGAAACTAATTTAATGAGACTTTTTATTATATATTTTCTATAATTAATCATTTGTGGCTATGGGAAGATCCATAAATAAAACTGTCCGTTCTAAAAATATATTTCTGCATCATTGTGTTGTTTTTCTCCTGCATATTTACCCATGAATTTTACTGAATTTGTCGGAAATTTTTACTATCAAATTTGAGACCTACCTTCTGTCTCTTTTGTTCATACATTCATTCTTATGTTTACACGTAATGAAGTAAAGGAGGTGGTAAGTCACCAAGTTTTAAAGCATATATTTAGGCCGTAATGTGACAGTATTCTATTTATTTAATTGGAAAATGGATTATGGATTATAATTATACTTAAAAGAAGATCGATCATTGTTGTATAATTAAATATTTTTTAGAAATATATAAATTATTGACAGATAAAAGTACTACGCCACAACCTTATCAGTACGCAGGATCGTCGTAAATAAATTAATGAGTATTTGCTAATCGTTACTGAAGATCGTCTTTATCAACACCTTCATTTTTATACATTACGGCAAGATTATATTGATATTTTTTTTATTTTTTATTTTATTTTAAAAATGTAGACAATGACGGTCTATGATGAAATTTATTTCATTTATTTATTCATTTTTTTTTTTTTTTTATTTTATTTTTTT